GCAACCACCAGAAATATGGCAGGAAGATGAAGATGACCTTCCTGTTGAATCAAAGCAGATCCTTAAGTACAAGTTGCCTTTTTTGGGCTCTGCATTGTCCACAGACTTTTATTTTTACACATCATTAAGGGCCACCTTTTTATAACTCCTGACTTGTTACAGGCAACTAACATGCCATGTACTTATTAATTAGTATATTACTGGAGTTTGTTGAGGACCCAGAGTTCAGTATTCCAAGAAGTTTGGCAATTGCAAAACAGTTAATAATGACTTACTGTCACAGAGACTGGTAAATGCTCCTCTTTTTGGGAAATAAACCTCTGCTAACAGTGTTGTCTCTTGAATTGAGTCCTTATTTTTATGTTCTGTAGTTCTGAAGCATTTACTATATGCTGCATCATGGTTCCCCACTACTTTTCCTGACTGCACAGATGACCAATCTGATTGTTATTTCTCTCTAGTCCTTGGCTCTGGATTCATTGTTAAGTTTTGCCTCTCTTAGTGGGCGAGAAACATTTGAGAATCACTAGTTGAAAGGAGTAACTCAGGGGCACTTCCTTTGGCCCTCCTCAGCTGACTTTCTCGTATCTGAAATGTGCTTTCTTTTACGCTTTGGCTTGGCCTTTAGCAGATCAAAAGAGGAAGGTGCTTAGGCCTCCTGTGTCCTCCCTGTACTGGGTTAGTCGTTGCTCTGGTGTTGGTGCATTAACACTTCGTAAACTGGTCTTGAACATGAAAAATTAAAGGCTTCTCAGACTTACAAGTCTGAGAGTGATTTGCCTCATGTCTCCACCAAATGACTGCTATTGCACAGCCGCTCTGAGACCACCCCGCCCCCAACCAGCCTGCTGAAGTCTCCACCCTCAGAGCCATCTATTTGCAGGAAAAATGAAAGTAGCTGTTAGATTACACATTGCCTTTTTTGGGCCCTGCATCATCCACAGACTTTTGCTTTTATATGTCATTAAGGGCCACCTTTTTATAACTCCTGATTTGTTACAGGCCTGTTTTAAAATTTATCTTTGTTATTATATCAGTATAATATATATCAGCTTTTTTATTACAAAAGAATAGAAGACACATGTATTACAAATACTATTCATTGATGAGTTAGAATGTTGATTAATATCATTTTTCTATTTAAACCACATGGAATAATGGAAAATTCTTTAAAATGACATAATGGCCTCTTTGGATGGTGAAATGACACTATTCTATAAGTCAGGCTTGACCCAGCAATTTCAGTTCTGGAAAAGCATCCTACTGATACCCTCGCCTGTGTGCAGAGATACATACACTCAGGGGTAATCAGTGCAGCATGATTTGGAGTGGAAGATGGTGGGAAACAAACCAGTGTCCTTCAATAGCAGACTGTTTACATAAATTATGGTACATCTATAGAATAGGATAATATGCAGCTGTTAAAATTGAATGTAATAAAAACTGTAATTATATAATGCAAAGTATGTCACCCTTTACACACATACCTACTGGTGTGTCCAGGTCCTTTCTGCAGGAACCTAGAGTTGCTTTCTCTGGGGAGAACAGCTAGAGGAATAAAGGATCATGAAGGTAGAACTTCCTTTTTCCTCTGTACTTTTTTATCCTGCTGGATCTTCCTGTCCGTCCTCCCTCTATGGGGAGAGATGGGAGAGATGTACTTTTTCTAATCTTTTTTTTGTTCGTTGAAGACAGGGTCTTACTCTGTAGCCCAAGCTGGAGTGCAGTGGTGCCATCATAGCTCACTGCAGCTTTGACTTCCTGGGCTCAAGCAGTTCTCCTGCCTCAGTCTCCAAGTAGCTGGGACCACACATGTGTGCCACCATGCCCAGCTAATATTTATTTATTTATTTATTTTTGAGATGTAGTTTTGCTTTTGTCACCCAGGCTGGAGTGCAGTGGTGTGATCTCGGCTCACTGCAACCTCTGCCTGCCAGGTTCAAGTGATTTTCCTGCATCAGTGCCCCTGAGTAGCTGGGATTACAGGTGCCTGAATATCCTTTCATTAAAAAAAATTTTTTTTTCAATTTTTTGTTTTGTAGAGATGGAGTCTTGCTAGTCTCGAACTCCTGGGCTCAAGCCATCCTCCTACCCCAGCCTCAGTGCTGGGAACTTTTTCTAATCTCAGATTAACTGCATAACTTAATTTCTTTTCTGAGAATTTTTTATTCGTTTGTTCATTTTTTTTGGCAATAGCTTTATAATTTTTGTTATATTCAGAGTTGTGTAGCCATAATCACAATCAATGTGAGCATAGTTTCATTCCTGAAAAAAACCCCACACCTGTTAGCAATCACTCTTTACCTCCTCAGATTCCTTCTACTCCCCATCACCCACCCCTTCCATTCAGTCCCCAGCCTGGGCAAACAGTTAACTACTTCCTGTCTCTAAAAATTTGGCTATTCTGAACATTTTCTGTAAATGAAATCTTAGAGTAATTGGACTTTTGTGACTGGCTTCTCATTTATCATGATATTTTCAAAGTTCATCCCTGATGTAGCAGGTATCAGTAATTCATTTCTTCTCATAGCTGAAAATTATTCCCTTGTGTGAATGTATTACATTTTATCTAGCCATCTAATGATGGCCATTGGAGTTATCTCTACTTTTGGCTATCATAAATAATGTTGCTATGCATATCCTTGTACAAATTTTTGTATAGTCATATGTTTACACTCTCCATACCTCTGCCTAGATATGGAACTACTGATCAGATGGTAACTCTATTTGACTTTTTCAGGAGCTGCCAAACTTTTCTAAAGTGGCTGCACCATTTTATATTCCCATCAGCACTGTATGATTCTAATTTCTCCACATCCTGGACAACACTTGTTATTGCCTGTTGTAGTGAGTTCTTATAATCTTATGTTGCCTCGGCATCCGTTTTAAATCTAAATTGAACCGTCTCATACCAGAAGAAAGACTCAGTCACCCCTGACACAGTTTGCAGTTCCACCCTCCTCCCCAGTTCCTCAGTGTGGTCGATCTAGCTACTTTCTGGTGACCACATCCCTGTGGGACAGCTGGATGCAGCCTGCTTGACAGGCCCTTCTGACCTTCGCATCCCCCATAGACCACACCGATATGCCACAGTGGCCACCTCCCAGTCACTGGGTAACCTCCCAGAACTCATGCCTGCTTGCTTTAAACTCACCAGTTAAAACTCCCCAGCCGGACACAGTGGCTCCCACCTGTAATCCCAGCACTTTGGGAGGCCAAGGCGGGTGGATGACCTGAGGTCAGAAGTTCAAGACCAGCCTAACCAACATAGAGAAACCCCGTCTTTACTAAAAATACAAAATTAGCCAGTCGTGTGGTGCATGCCTGTAATCCCAGCTACTCAGGAGGCTGAGGCAGGAGAATCGCTTGAACCCAGGAGGCAGAGGTTGCAGTGAGCTGAGACCACGCCACTGCACTCCAGCCTAGGCAACAAGAGCGAAACTGCATCTCAAAAACAAACAAAAAAAACTCCATGCTGCCTGTGGGAAATCTGTTTGGAAACACCTGGGACTCAAATAAGACATTGGCTCATGTGTCCTTCCCCACAAACCCCACTTCTACCATGTGAGGATATGGGTCCCTTTTCTCTCTCTCTGCTTGTACTCCCTGACATTTGTGTGTTTGGCTTGCAGGCATGCTGTGTGCTCCCAGAACCTGTAAGTGATAATGTCTTTATTTCCATCTCTTATTTCTTCTGATTATTGGAGGAGTACTCTCCATCTTAAAGATCTTAAACTAAAGCACCTATCATTCTTAGTATAAAGTATAACCATTGCCATGGACTAAATATTTGTGTGCACCCCGCAAAATTCATATATTGAAATTTAATCCCCAAGGTGATGGTTTTTGAGGATGAGGACTTTGGGAAGTTATTAGGTCAAGGGGCAGAGCCTTCATGAGTGGGATTAGTTTCCTTATGAAAGAGGCCCAGGGAAATTTGTCTGCCCCTTCCACCCTGTGAGCACACAGCAGAAAGATGCTGTCTGAGAGAAAGCAGGCCCTTACCAGAGACAGAATCTGCCGGCTCCTGTGTTAACCTTGGACTTCCCAGCATCCAGAGCTATCAGAAACAAATTTCTGTTATTTATGCACTGTCTAGTCCATGGTATTTTGTTATAGCAGCCTGAACAGACCAAGATAGCCATCATAGTGGGGAAAGTGATACCTTATTGTGCTTTTGAATTATGTTTCCCTAATGAGTAATGATACTAAGCATCATTTTGTGTGTTTATTGGCCATTAATATGTCTTCTTTGGAGAAATGGCCATCCAAATCTTTTCCCTACTTTTAAGGGCTGTTTGCCTTTTTATTATTTAGTTATATGACTTCTTTGTGTATTTTGGATACTAGAACCTTATCAGATAATTTAATTTCTCCCATTGTGTAGATTCTATTTTCACTTTCCTAATGATGTCTTTTCAAAGCATGTATTTCTTTTTTCAAAAACATATTCTTTACTCTCTTTTTTTTTTTTTTTTTTGAGATGGAGTCTCTCTGTGTCGCCCAGGCTGGAGTGCAGTGCCATGATCTCGGCTCACCACAACCTCTGCCTCCTGGATTCAAGTGATTGTCCTGCCTCAGCCTCCTGAGTAGCTGGGATCACAGACACCCACCACCATGCCCCGCTGAGTTTTATATTTTTTAGTAGAGACAAGGTTTCACCATGGCAGCCAGGCTGGTCTCGAACTCCTGACCTCAGGTGATCTGCCAGCCTTGGCCTCTCAAAGTGCTGGGATTACAGGTGTGAGCCACTGCACCTGGCTTGCTATCTTTACTATATTTATTTTATGAACTATCATTATTATTAAAATTAAATCGTATGGATTTTGCTGCTTTTTTCTCATTCATTATGTAGAAAGCCATGAGTTTTATAAAACATGATAGGTGCTGATTTCAATAGTCATGCTTTGTTTGACCTCCTTTTATTTCTGAAGAAAAAAACAACCCACCTAGTTGTTCATACACAGTATGTTTAACTCACATCTCTTTTGTTGTTGCAGGTTGCAGTGCAGGAGGGAATTAACTCAGGAATAGCCATGTCGAGAGGATTGTATCAACCAGCAGCAATTTTTATGGGCCGCCAAATGTCAGCCGTCTCAAGCATGGGAGATTGCAGTACAGAGCACAAATCTCCCCAACCCACAAAGAACTTTTCAATTCCTGACCTACATTCACACCAACAGACAGCCCAGAGCAGTAATGTGACAGACAGCTGTGTAGTACAAACTAGTAGTGACACACAGTGCTTAAATAAGTCTGACAACATAGATGGAAAGGCATCTCTTCAGACTGGTGAGAAAACGCCAGTCACAGCCAGTGTATTGTCTGAGGAGGAAAAAACTCATTGCTTGGAGATAGGAAGTAACACATGTCGTGGCAAGAGTAATTTATCTGAAGGCAAAAAGTCTGCTGAACTCAATTCCCCATTACAGGAAAGATTAAGTCCAGAGAACAGAACCACTGATTTAAAGTGTGACAGTTCCAGCAGATCAGGGGGATCAGAGGGAGAAATACTGACACGGGAACATATTGAAGTTGAGGAAGAAAGAGCCAGCCCACCAGTCTCTCCGATATCAGTTTCAGAATACCGTGGATCTGAAACTAAGTGGTCTCAAGAGAAGCATTCTGCTTGGGAAGGTGTTTCAGGTGGGACAGGAGGCTGAGTTTGGTTGCTGATTTTTCTGGGTGGTGGCGATTTTTACCTTTTCTGGGTGGTAGTGATCTTACGTAAGGACAAAATATACTCTCCAGTTATATCTCTTTGTCATAAAATATTGTCTTTGCCAACAAATTCCATTCTATTGAACTCTTAAATGCAAATGAATTTGCTGATTTTTAAACCCACTGATTTTTTAAAAAGCATTTGAACATATTTTTAAGCTTCTAAGTTCTGTAATTAATTGTGGGTTGCTCCTCCATGTTTATAACTGATGAATAATTCTGCTGTGTGTTCCCTTGCTTCCCCCTGAAGTCAGAGATTGGTAATCGATTAATGTCCCCACTTGCAGATCATCTTGCTCATGGGGACCCAGAGTCACAAAAGCCCTTCAGAAAAATGCAGGAAGAGAAGGAGGAGGAAAGTTGGAGCACCAGCAGTGACCTCACCGTTTCTATAAGTGAAGATGATCTGATTTTAAAGAGCCCGGAACCACAGCCAAATCCGGATGGCAAGGTGGAGGGAGAAGATGGAATAGAGGCGTTAAAATTAATCCACTCTGAGCAAGAAAGAGATGCCCTATCTACTGAAAAAAATAATTGTATTTTGCAAACCCTAAGCTCTCCTGATTCAGAAAAGGAATCTTCCACTAACGCACCAATAAGAAAGTAAGCCATTCAATTTTTTTTCCTACTGTTCTGTTTTTAATTGTAGACATTTTTAGAGACCATTCCACTGGGAATGTATTGTTGAGCACTCAGCCATGAATGTGTAAATTCCTTAAGTCTCATAACTAGTCTTTTAGGTAAGAACTAATTTTCTTTCTTTCTGTCCTTCCTTCTTTCCTTCCTCCCTCCTTTCCTTCTTTCTTTCTTTACCAAAATAGCTTTAAAAGTTTGAATATCATTGAATCCTGGTGATTGACAGCTTATATACACATAATCCCTGTTTAACTTGTAAGTCATTCCCCAACCCCCTACTCTCCAGCCTTTCAGAAAATAAATCTGTTTTGAAGTTTTGGTACCACAGAAAGTGACAGTTTAACTTACTAGGAATGCAGCGTCAGAGCCTGAGAACTTTATGCCTAATTAATTTGCTTAATCCTTATATTCCTTGCCATAGTATCATTTTTGTCATCTGATTAAATATGAGTTAATAAGTTCTTCTAGTTGTATATATTACAAGCTATCCTTTTTTGAATGTAAATAGGAAACATTGGAATCTCTAATGTTAAATGGGAACATCAGCTCTATACATTTTGAAAACTTATAATATCCGACTGATAAAAGCTCATATATGCTTTTGTGCTACTGCTCGGAGTTCTTGCACTATGGATGAAAGAACCAACATGGTTCCAGTCTTTGGGAAATTTGATTTATTGGGGAGGCGAGCCAAATGGATTTTTTTTTTTTTTTGAGACAGAGTTTCACTCATGTTACCCAGGCTGGAGTGCAATGGCGCGATCTCGGCTCACCGCAACCTCCGCCTCCCGGGTTCAGGCAATTCTCCTGCCTCAGCCTCCTGAGTAGCTGGGATTACAGGCATGCACCACCATGCCCAGCTAATTTTTTGTATTTTTAGTAGAGACGGGGTTTCACCATGTTGACCAGGATGGTCTCGATCTCTTGACCTCGTGATCCACCCGCCTCGGCCTCCCAAAGTGCTGGGATTACAGGCTTGAGCCACCGTGCCCAGCCTGGATTTTTTTAATAATAATACTTCTGTCATCAAAGAGGCGCCGGTAACACATATTACATCATCATGGACAAGTTAGTACTTTGGTAGGCTAACGCATAATATACTTACCCGGGACTCGGTCTTTTTCTGAGGTGAAAAAAAATTGAGTATGTGTATGGAATTCCTACTTAACATTTCTCTAAGAGTCAAGAATGTTCATTCTGTCTCCATTCGAATGACTTTTTTTTAATGATCTTGGAGGCATAAAGTCAAGCTCCTTGGAGTTTTGGCATATTGTTTCCCAATAGTTAATGGAAAATATGGGCATGTGGGGAATTTTGAATATTTCTCTTAATAAAATGTTCCCAAAATGAAAATGTCAGTCAGCAGTGGTTGTTTCTGTGTCTGTATTATCAAATTTAAGACTACTGATTTTCTAGGTAAGAATATTCTCTAGGAATAGGTTGAAGGTGGTTTTAAATGATGCTAGTTAACTTGCTGACATCACCACTGCATTTGAGGCCCCGCGTTTTCTTAATTTATTGTTTAGCTGAAGCTCTCCCCCTTTGCTCTGAGGGTTATTAGTCTAAGACCATAGCATCATATTTATAGTGCTAACACTATAACCCCAACAGTTTAGTATTTCAGTTTACTTCAGGGTCTGTTGGGGGCCTGGAGAAAAATCACTTGAATGAATTTAATTAGCAAAAATACATAAATGGGACAAAGAAGGACATATAGGAGCATGTGATCCAGAATGTAGAATGTGTGCAGCTCCTTGAAGGCTGTATAGGCTTTGAAGGAGGAGGAGGAGGAGCGAAAGAGCAAATAGGGTTGGAGGAAAACACAAGAAGGAATGCAGAGCAGAGAACACAGAGGGAATGGGGGGACAGAGCAAAGGACCCTGTGGGCAAGGAGGGCCTTTTGGAGTTAAGGTTCAAAATGCCACCTGGGTTGAGGTTAAGAAAGGCCTGGAATATCAGGTTGATGAATTTAGAGGTCACTTTCTATGCTTTGTAGAGCTGTTCAAGGTTATTTTAGGAGAAGGACAGTGTGATGAGGCTTGGTTTAGGAGGATTAACCTGACAGCATTAGTTTATTAGGATTAATTATCCGTGTGGTAGGCAGAAGTGTAGATGGCCCCGAGATTCCCATTCCCTGTTGTATGTGCCCTGCGTAATCCCCTTGCCTTGAGAGTCAGCAGGATTGGGAGTTTGATGGATTTTACCCCCATGATGAAGCTATGTCACATGACAAAGATGAAGGATATTGCAGATATAATAAAGGTCCCAAATCAGTTGGCTTTGAGCTAGTCAAATAAAGATTATCCCAATTGGACCTACCTAATCAGATGAGACTTTAAAAGAGACTGGGCCTTTACTGAAGTCAGTGGCATGATCTAAGCTCACTGCAACCTTTGCCTTCTGGGTACAAGCTATTCCCCTCCTTAGCCTCCCAAATAGCTAGGATTACAGATGCCCACCACTACACCTGGCCAGTTTTTGCATTTTGGGAAGAGACCAGGTTTTACCACGTTGGCCAGTCTGGTCTCAAACTCCTGACCTCAAGTGGTCTACCCCTCTTGACCTCCCAAAGTGCTGGGATTAGAGGTATGATCCGCTGCATCCAGCCTGAAGCCAGAGAGATGTAAAACAGCTAAGATACTCTCCTGTTTGCCTGAAGAAGCAAACTATCATCTTGTGGGAAAGATCACATGACAGGAAATGGCCTGCAGCCTCTAGGGCCTGAGGGCCTCAGTTCTGCAGCCCCAAGGAAATTGATTCTGTCAATAACCAGTGAGCTTGGAAGAGGTCCCTGAGCCTTAGATGAGACTGCATCTTCAGCAGACACCTTCATTTCAGCCTGGTGAAAACTTGAGCAGATGACCCCACTCACCCAGATCCAGACTCCTGTCTCATGGGAACTATTAAATAATAAATTTATGGGAATTTGTGATACAGCAATAAGAAAATTAATACAACTCAGTTGAAGAATTGGAAGCTAGGATTGTATGGATTGAAGTGTCTACCCATAATGACTGGAAACAAGCTAAATTGGACATGTTCAGGGTTCGTTGTGGGAACACATGGTAATAAGGTATCTGAGTGAGTGATCCAGCAGCCAAGGTAACCTGTGCTTCCCCTCACCTTGTATCCTCACCATCTGAGCAAGTGCGTTTTCATACTGTGGTAGCAGTGGTAGAACATTATAGACTGATAGGGACTTTAAAAGTGGGTGTGCCTATCCGCATTAATCAACAAACAGTTTCTCATGCTAGTGGGTTTTTTGTTTCACTATATATATATATTTTTTGAGATGGCGTTTTTGCTCTTGTCGTCCAGGCTGGAGTGCAATGGCATGATCTTGGCTCACTGCAATCTCCGCCTCCCGGGTTCAAGCTGTTCTCGTGCCTCAGTCTCCTAAGTAGCTGGGATTACAGAAGTATACCAGCACATCCAACTAATTTTGTATTTTTAATAGAGATGGGGTTTCACCATGTTGGCCAGGCTGGTCTCGAACTCCTAACCTCAGGAGATTTGCCCACCTCCAAAGTGCTGGGATTATAGGCATGAACCATGCGCCCGGCCTGCTTTGTTTTATATATCAATGCATAATGATATGTATCCACCTTTACAGTATCATTAAAAAATAGTTTATCTGCTTGAAAATCACCTGTGCTCCATCTACTCACCCCTCTTCCTTTAACCCCACTTGAACCCCTGGCAAGCACTGATCTTTTTAGTGTCTTGTCTTTTCCAGAATGTCAAGTAGTAGGAATTATGTAACAAGTAGTCTTATCAGATTGGCTTTTTTCACTAAGTCATGTATATTTAAGGTTCTTCCAAGTCTTTTTATGGCTTCATACTTTATTTTTAGCACTGAATAGTATTCCATTGTCTGGATGTACCGCAGTTTATCCATTCACCTACTGAGGAGTATCTTGGTGGCTTCTAGGTTTTGCCAATTATGAATAAAGCTGCCATAAATATCTCTGTGCAGGTTTTTGTGTGGACCTAAGTTTTTAACTCATTTGAGTAAATACCAAGGAGTGTCATTGCTGAATCATATGTAAGTCTATTTTTGGTTTGGGTTTGTTTTTTTATTTTTTATTTTTGTGGGTACATAGTAGGTATATATATGTATATTTATGGGGTACATGAAATATTTTTTACACATGGTAAATGGGGTATCCATCCCCTGAAGCCTTTATCCTTTGTGTTATAAACAATCCAATTATACTGTTTCAGTTATTTTTAAATGCACAATTATTATTTACTATAGTCATCCTGTTGTGCTGTCAAATACTAGATCTTATTCATTCTTTCTAACTTATCTTTTTATACTCATTAACCTTCCCCACCTCCCCTCACCCCAAACCCTACTACCCTTCCCAGCCTCAGGTAACTATCTTTTTTTCTACTCTTTCTCCATGAGTTCAATTGTTTTAAGTTTTAGCTCTCCCAAATATGAGAACATGCAAAGTTTGTCTTTCTGTGCCTGGCTTATATCACTTAACATAATGACCTCCAGTTCCATCTATGTTGTTGTAAATGATAGGATCTCATTCTTTTCTATGGCTAAATAGGTAAGTCTATGTTTAGCTTTGTAAGAAACTGCTGTGCCATTTTACATTATCACTAGAAATGAATGAGAGTTCTTGTTGCTCTATCTTGTCAGCATTTGGTATTGTCAGTTTTTAAAATTTTAGCCATTCTAAAAGGTGTTTAGTGGTATGCAATTGTTTTAATTTGTAGTTCCCCAATGACGTGCTGTGGAACATCTTTTCATATGCTTATTTGCCATCTGTATATATTCTTTAATGAGGTGGCTGTTCAGATCTCTCACCCATTTTTAATTCAATTATTTTCTTATTGTTGAGCTTTAATAGCTCTTTCTGTATTTTGGATACCAGTCCTTTATCAGGGGGATCGTGTGTCTTGCAGATATTGTCTCCCAGTCTATGGCTTGTCTTTTCCTTTGAATAGTGACT